CCTGGGAAAATACTCATAAAGCCCTGTTTATTGTAAGGCAGAGAGGTTTTATGTATGACCCAGTTGTAACAGAAGTGAGAGCCCAGTGAGTGTTTTTAAGTCTATTTATTTGTGCATAACATGCCCAATCTCTTCCATCTTTTCTTTTCCTTTAAAATTCATCAAATTTCCTTTTGGTTTGTGACTGTAAGAACGCTCAGAGGAACCGGGACTGTAGCTTGGCCGGAGAAGAACAACAGCTGGTAGGCTCTGAAGAGCAGAGTCCAGACCTGGGATCCTGCCGGGCTTCCACCGCGACCTGGTAATTATCTCCCCTCTCTTCTGGGCAGAGGGAGCTATATGTGGCCAGGAGGAAGCCCAGAATACGACCGCTCCGCCCTCGCTCTCCCTGCCAACCTCCGGGCTCTCAGCATGGACTGGCGATTGCTGAAACCCTCCCATCAGGAACTGATTCTTGGCTTCTCTCGATATCAAAACACAATCCTTTGAGAAGCCTCTTCCAGTTATCCAGCGCCCATCTGCTGCTAAGTGAGAACGACTCGCTCAGAGTGCTGCGACGCAGGCAGAGGCGGGGAAGGGACCGTGGATGTGCAGAGCAGGGGCCCGGATCCTCGGCACGCGCCCTCCTGACCTCAGAGTTCTCCAAGCACCTCTAAGACGTGTCCTTCTGACTCTTTTTGCCCCACCCAGGCCCAGACAGGCATGCCAAGCAGCATCGCTACGTTCTTCCACAGCAAGCAGCGTTTCTGCCTGATGACAGACACAGTTCTTTCAGCGTGACTGAGGTATTTGTTCAGTCCTTACAGCCACCCCGGGCCGTACACCTTAACACCATAGCACAGCTTGATGTAAAGCCAACCTGCCTCCCACTGGGTTTACGGTAAGGACTGAGGGAGGGCATGAGCCCTACAGGACAGATCGCTGGGCTGCTTTTGGTGCCAATAAACCTTGAACTCTTAGAAAGCGCTGATAAAACGTCCCTGAAGAGATACAGTAAAGTTCATAAGAATTCGGAAAAAAAAATCAGTGGCTGAGTACCACCATGACGTCGTTAACTCATTATCCCACAAGCCTTTCTTACACACCTGTGCGTTCCGGAGCTCAGGGGCCAAGGGAAGCCCAGGGCCCGCGCCAGAGGTTGGCTTCGAGGCCTGCGGACATCCAGGAGGCCCGGACTCGGTGTGCGTGTAAGTGCGCGTCCTTGAGACTAAATCAGGCGGCACAGACCCGAGGGCACTGCTTTAGGGTCTGGGAAAGCAGAGAGCCACAGGCCCCCTCTTGAGAGGGCCGCGGGCACAGGCAGAACTGATTAGATGCACACCAAAGAGTGTAACAGTAAGTACTGAAGTGAAAGTGCCTTGGAGACGCGGGGCGGTGGTTTACATAGGAAGAGAGAAGGGGAACTCCAGAGTTCACAAAGATTCTACTTAAACACGACACGATGGCCAATAAACTGACAAAACTGCTAGAAGATCGATAAAGAATATGTACAAATCACAGACTACCCACCATGAATCTCTGACACACAAAGCACTGAATTACGCGGGAGGGGTCAACAATCGGCGCTGGGTGCTCCAATGCGCCCGCAGTTTGGGGGCACGGTCAAGGGCAGAAAGGAGCGTAAAGAAGCGCAGGGGGCAGCTATGATTGGTTACCAAGCCAGCGGCGCGGCGCTAAGAAACGTTCAGAAGAAAGTGGCTACAGACGGACCTCGACTGGAGTTCAGGGTTTCTGTGCGTAAAGAGGAAACCCCGGGGTTCATGGGTGTACCCAGAAAAGCGAGGTTACAGAGGGGGGCGTCCGGGAGCCGGGAAAGAGCCCGTCCCTGCAGCC